ACCCTCACCTCTCCTAAACAAGGCAGGATCACTTTTGCCTAGCTGCTTCTTCGAGGCCACCCTCTTCTCGGCGGCCTTCTCTTTGGCCACTTCTTGAGCGTCTGATGACGCTCACAATCCTTTGGTCATAGTCTCACTATCATCAAGCCGAATTATACACTTTATCATGTCCGGATTGAGGTATTGAAACAATGAGATGCGCTGACCCTCGATTAGTGTCTTATGATCTCTGCGATTACCAGAAGGACTTCACCTTTTCACCTCGCTTTCCATTGAAACGGTGTCGATCACCCAGCCACCGCAAGAGCCCACCGAGAATTTTGCTTTCCAATATTTTATCGTATTCTCAAGACCCATCAAATGTATCTTAGAGCCGACCACAAATTGAACATAGCTATCACGACCGATTTGAAATGAGAACAAATGGCTGAAGAATTCGAGCGACCAAGGGATCTTTACCCTTCGACAAAAGAGGATGAATGTCATTTTGGAAGCCACCGAGTTGGGAAAAACTTGGCTAGGAATAACCCCGTACCATCCGAAAATTGATCGTAATTCCTTGCAAGGCAGATGAAGTCTCATTTTAAACTGATCTTTATAAGAAGTCAAATACGAAGAAAAATGGCTCTTCGGCCGCTCATGGCTGGTGGTCGGCCGAAGTTGGATAGAAGGGTAGAAATGTAAAGGCTCTGAATCTCATTCATTTCTGCTGCAGGAGAATCAGACTTCCGAGGCTGAAATTGACCCAAACGATTGCTGGGAGTACTTCCGCGCCATACGATTAGTAACAACGCAAATAAGAGGAGAGGGAAGAAGAGGAATAAAGGGGACTAAAGAGTCACAAAAAAATAAAGGTTACGAAGCCCTCTCCCATGCAGATATATATGTGTGTGTGTGTGTGTGTGTGTTTATATATATATATATATATGTATGTGTGCACACACACAGATTAGCGTGTAAAATGAAACACCACCAATGAGACGTGTGACAAGAACCGCGTGGTAATTGAGGAAAAATAGTCATTACTAGAAATGAAAATTTGCAATAGTCATTACTAGAAATGAAAATTTGCATTATATTTATTTATTTACAAAAATTTGCAATAGTCATTACTAGAAATGACATCATGCCTCACCCTCTGATACAACTAAGAGAGGAAAAACCTAACTAAGCTGTCGTTTGCGGCTTCGTCCGTGACAAGCCCTCATTGATGCAGTCGCTCATACATAAATTTGCCACCCAGTTCGAAGAGGTCATTATGACTATCCCTCAGCTAGGCGGCGAAAACCTCTCTAACGACCGATAACTCCTGACACAACCGAGCCATCTCCTTACGATCAACCAACATCTCCCCTTGAAAAATAGCTAGTTCCTCACGAAGTGCAGCAACTTCCTTTTCTATTGGGTCGACTCGCTCTAGAAACTCAGACTCCATCACTATCTCTTCGAGGTTTTACTATGAGATGAAGAAAGCACTACTTCATTTCGACAAGGAGGCACACTAAAAAGTTGGCATACACCTAGCGCTCCCAGCCTCCTCCTCTGCTGCCGCGCCAGGAGGAACTTGGCCGCCCACGTTCCTGCCTTCACCAAAGGAAGGATTCTCCCTTATCCTTTGGGCCATCGTGTCCTGCCCTACAGTGCCCTGCTCTATGGTCCTCGACTTCATGGTTCCTTACTCCAAAATAACTTGCTCCCCGTTATTCGCTCCCCTCTCCGTGGCTTGTTCCACAGAGGCCACATCGCCCTTAGGGTTCCCGTCAGTGTCTGAGGAAGTGGGAGCGATCATTAGAGATCCTGCAACTGCAAAAGGAATACTAAAAACATGATTCAGACTACATACCCAAAACTTGATACCATTCAAAAGTGATGTAAGAGATAAAGTTCTCACCGGTCTCCTCTAGTCCACCCTCGAAGGAAAGCCCACCCTTTTGCGACTGAAGCTGAGTCTTCGCTTCAGCTAGTGCCTTCCCGAGCCCCTAGGGAGTCATAGTCCCCGCAACAGTCTGAACGGACATTCCTCTTCTTTTGGCAGGAGTGACCGCTTTCAATGGGCGCCTGAAAGACGATCACAAGTACGCCCTACAACCTCCTACGCGGCTTTCCTTTGTGAAAAGTCCGCGAGAAAACTCAAAGACCCAGTTCGATCCTTATGTTCCCTCACTCTCTACCCCTACACAATCTTCTTCTTGCTCAACTCTTTCGTGGAAGCCTCGATTGCTGGCTTTCGCTTCGCTTTGGGTTTGCGAGTCTTCGCCGCATATCACTTATGGCCTTGAGGAGGGCGCTATTGTCGGTTGAGGGCGCTCCCTCACTAGCCATCGCAACAGACCCGGAAAAGAACAGATAGCAGACTAAAGAAACAAGAAGAAAAAAAAAACGACACAAACCTTCCTTACCCCTAGGACTGTCAAAACGACTCGTTGTTCGCAAACAACTCGTGTTTGACTCGTTTTTCGGGAACAACTCGTGTTTGACTCGTTGTTCAGGAACAACTCGTGTTCGACTCGTTAAGCAGCTTGTGTTCGACTTGTTCATTAAGCTTAACGACCCGAACACGAACAAATTTTTAAGCTCGAAATATAAATGAGCTGAACAGGACCAAATATTTATTTGCTCGTGTTCAGCTCGAATTGGCTTGAAAATAAACAAATAAATTAATTAATAAATAAAAATATAAATATACTCAATATCTCGTGTTATTTGTGTTATTCCGCGGTGTAACACCACAGAATAATATCGATAATACCACTAACACCGCAGAATAAAACCCCCGTTGTGTTATCGTTGTTATTCCTCCGTCCGCGGCGCTATTGGTGTTATTCTGCACTGCGTAATAACACGAATAATACCGCAGAATAACACCGATTAACACCCGGTATTTTATAGATATTATTCCGCCGTCCTCAGTGTTATTGGTGCTAACACTGATCACACCAATAATACGTTGGAATAATACCGAGTAACACCCGCTGTGTTATAGTATTATTCCGCCGTCTGCGGTGTTATCGATGTTATTCTGCGCTATTTGGGTGTTACTCAGGTGTTATTGCGGGTGTTTCTCGGGTGTTATCACTGTGTTATCAGTGTTATTCCGCAGTCCGCAGTATAATTGACATGATTTCACAACTTTTTATATTGTACCGAGTCTATTTCGAACCGAACAGCCGAACATGAACATGAATATATTATTCGACCGAACAAGAACACATTGTTCATGAGTTATTTCGAACACGAGCCAAAGTGGAATGAGCCAAACACAAGATGAGGCTTAGCTTGCTTAAGTTAGGCTCGTTTACAGCCCTACTTACCATCAACGCCTATTTATAATGGTCTGATCCAGAGAAATCTGTTATTGTGCAATAATGTCATTTAATTATTTAATACGTGTTAAAAAGTTTCTTCTATCATCATATACTGTGTAGCTTTTGAAGAGCAAGATAATCAGAGTACTAAATATGTATATGAAAAATGTCTGTGAGTAGGGCTGTCCAAACGACTCGTTGTTCGCGAAGAGCTCGTGTTCGGTTCGTTAAGAAACTCGCGTTTAACTCGTTCGCTATGTTAACGAGCCAAACACGAACAAAAATTTGTTCATTCGTGTTCGGTTTTTTTTTTGGCTTGAAATACTATTCATCAATTATATATATATATATATCTCTTTCTCTCTCTCTCTCTATATATATATATATATTATATAAATATTGTTGAGTACTACTTTTAAAAAATTTAATTGACTACACGGCTACAAAGACTTATAATCAATTAAAAATACTAATTAAGAAAATAAAATAAAAATTATTAAATTAGATTCAATTGATGTTTTAATATAAACAATAATTTTTAAATCTTGCCTCAACCCTTAACATCTTAAGGTTACGTGTTCAGGGTTGTCAAAATGACTATTTGTTCGTGAACAACTCATGTTCGACTCGCTAAGCAAACGAGCGGAACACTAACATATTTTTTGAGCTCGAAATATAAATGAGCCGAACACGAGCTGAGTTTGGGCTCACTTGTGTTCAACTCGTTTACACCCATATATGTGAGAATCTCAAGGCAAACAAATGATTTTGGAGCGATGAGCAATCGATCAGATACCTCCTTGACAACCGAAGGATTGAATGCTAACAAAGAAGGCGTTGAGGTCATCGGAAGAATGCGACGAAGAATTTCCTGTAGAACGGCAATCGACGAGTTACTCGGTCCCGAACCGTGCACCAATGAAGTTAATGCGTAGCGAGCAGTCGACAGATTTCTCATCGACCGAATATATTCACCAGCCTTATTATATTCTAATGCTCTTGTAATTACTAAAATGCTCCCCCCCTTAAACCTAATAATGAGAGGGTTGACTTGTAATTTTATAATAAGTGTGACCTATTCCTATAAATAGGGGGTCAATGTCATGAATAAAGGCTAGACTCTTTAACTGTTCCCTACTGTGTCCTCTTTCTCTCTAACCACTTCCTGGTAGAACGTTTTATATCTTGGGTGTGTTTCCCTGATATTTTCATATCAAGAATAGAATTGCAAAAGTTATTATAAAACTCTTGTTGTTTCTTTTCTTAATATCTTTCCTAATATGCCTGATTGCTTTGGAAATTAAATCGTGATAAAATGTAAAAAAAATTAAAATAATTCTCTCTTTTTTAGCTGGTCTTTGTAACTTGAAGACTTCTGATTCAGATTCACTAATGGCCTAAAGATAATAGGGAAATTCACAAACATACGAAATGAAACTTATGTATTTACATATCTGACACTCGGTTTGATTTTTACACTTATAACACTTTGATATCACACACTTATGCATGAAAATGTGTAATGTACTTATAAAAAGATGTCAATCATGGTATTTTTGATGTAATATTAAAGATTTGACCAATATGCTTGTAAACAAGAATGTTTAGGTATTAGATATGTAAATACATAAGAATTGTCTGGTATGTATGTAAATGCCCCAAGATAATAAAGAATTTATTGCTATGTTTTGACAGGTCCATCAAGCGGTGATGAAGAACGGTCTCGAAGTTGCGATGAAAATTCAGTACCCTGGTGTTGCAAATAGCATTGAAAGTGATATCGAAAATGTTAGAAGGCTTTTGGAGTACACAAATCTCATTCCTAAAGGGCTGTTTCTTGACAGAGCTATGAAGGTAATTAGTTTCTTTAAATTAACTTGCTCCTTTATGCAAGGTTTGAATTAAGGGAAATTTACATGCATGCCACACAATTCTTATGTCTTTGCATACCTAACACCCAAAGTTTGATATTTACACGCATAACAGTTTGTGTCATAAACTTATGCATGAAAATGTGTTTTTAACTTTTAAAAAGATAGTGATGGATATTTTTGATGTGATGTTAAAGATTTTTGTGATATGAAGGTGTTAGATATGTAAGTACATAGTGTGGTATGTATGTAAATGCCCCTTTAATTAATTATTTAATACGTAGTTCTTTATGCTCTTTTTTCAGCAAGTTTTTGCTCAAAAATAATTGAGACAAGTAGTCTATTTTCTATTTTTTTCTATGTTTTCCTGTCTAAGTAATGAATTTCAACTTTCTTTTGAGAAGAGTTATAAAACTCAAAGAATCACATTTTTTGTAAGTTTATTTTTTAATTACTAAAATGTTGAAAGAGATGAAGATTTCTGGAACGCATTTGGTTTCTGCTTCTTTTTTAAAATTAACGCTACTGTTACGTTGAAAAAGTTAGATTATGTAAATTTTCTTCGTCATAGCATACTAAATTTATTGTTAAATATATTCAAAACCGAACGAAATGCCTAATTTCAATTTTGTTTGCTCAGTGTTTATATTTTTTCAACTTTTCTTTCTAATCTTTCATTATAAAAAATCAGAACAAAAAGATTTCTTTTAGAACTACTTTAATTTCTGTACATGGATTACTTGTTTAATCTATAATATCTTCTTCTGGTCTTGATAATGTTGACCGTTTGAACAATTTTGTATTGATATAAATGAATAAAAGAGTACTAATTTTTGCTATGTTGCTTAGGATTGTTGGGGATTAATTTTATTATTTATTTTTCATTTGTTTTTTAGAAACATATTTGTTTAATGTATTTTTTATATATATTTATTTATTTATTTCTAAAAATAAATTAAAATAATTTTGAAAACACTCAAAAAAACTTTTAGGTGTTCGGAGTATTTTTAAAAATAATCATATCTTAATCAAATATATCAATAATGTTTTGTTCCAAATAAAAAATAAACAAAACATAGCAAAAATAAAAAAAAATTGAAAATAAAAAACAAATTTGATCCCAAATGCCCCCTTAACTTTTCTTTCCATAATCATGAACAATATACAGGTGGCAAGGGAAGAACTATCTAGGGAATGTGATTATGTTCTCGAAGCCGCCAACCAAATGAGATTCCGGAAGTTGCTATCTGATACAGAAGGGTTCTTTGTTCCCATGGTTGTCAGTGAAATGTCTAGCAGAAGGGTTTTGACAACAGAGTTTGTCTCAGGTATTATATTCAGTATTGGATTTGAAAAGATGATGCTGTTTTTTATCGTCACATGTATATGGATATTCTTAATTTAGAAGATCAATATTTTCAGGAACTATTTGTGTAATTACTCGAGGATTATTATACTTTCAAGTCTGTCCATCGAAATTGTTAGCAATTCATTGAAGGAGAAGCCACTTCTTCCCTTGCTGTGGATGTTACGACCTTGGAAGTTGGAACATCATTTGGTTACAGGAATTCGAAAAACTATTTCATTTGTCAATTATTCTAAATATTTGAGATTCATTTTGGATGGCTGCTGATTTTTGAAGTGGTGCTTGTAAAGTTGTGGTAAAAAAAAATAACTTCTTAGAAAGCTGCTCTAAATTATAAATATATTTTTTTTTCAAATGATAAAACAACAATTTTCTTTTGGTCATCACACTTTAACGTATCTGATTGCAAAAATCTGCTTGTCACCATAAAAAGTTTTAGAATGCAGCTAGGAAATAATTCTCCAATTAGAACTGTCATGGCAGGTTGAAATTCAAATAAATAGAAAGCTGTCCCAAACAAATCCTCAGTCTTCTACCTTTACTGCTGAAAAAGCTCTATAGGTTTGCACAAATTTGTACCTTCTGTCCACGATAGTTACCTGTCGGCTGCTCTGATTTCCTGCAGCGGCAGTGCGCCACTTAAGCCATTTATGCCTCTATGGGGATGGGAGGGATAGGGGAATTGTCTGACTCCACAACATTTATTCTAGTCCATAATATTTAGTATAGTGTAGGGGGTTTAAGTGAGTCGAGCCGAGCTAGAGCCACCCTCACCTTGAGCTTGATTAATTAATCGAGCTTGAGCTTAATTCTATGAAATAGAGAAAATATTACTAATTCAAGCTAGTTTTATAATAAATGACTAATAAATGAAAAAATAGGAAATAAATAATAAAAATTTACTTGATGTGAATTGTGAAATATCATTTTTTTTTACTTTTATAATAATTTAAAGATAAAATTTTAAATTTAATATATTTTAGTCATTTTTTATATTAGTATTTTTTTAATGAGCCGGCTCATGAGGTAATAAGTTGAGTCGAGGTTGGCTTAAGCTTAGTTTGTTACCTCATTGAGCTCAGCTCACGTGCCACTCATTGAGTCAGGCCTGAACCGGCTCATGAGTTTGCTTGGCTCAGCTACACGCTATGCAGCATACTGGTCCTCACTCTTCTTTACTGTTTTGTTTTTTCTGATCAACTTTCATTTTTCTGGCTATTTGCTCTTCTTGGGCATTATACTTGTGGGTTATCCTTTGTATTAGTGAGCCAACTTGGACTTGGCTCAATAAATGGCTCGTGAACGAAGCTTAATGAGCTAATAAGTCAAGCCTAAGTTAGATCAGACTCAATTTGCTAATTCTAGAGTCTTAAATTATTAATATAAAATACATTATAAATGCATTATATATTTTTGTTCCATAGCTTCCATAGAGATCTTAGCCCAGTCAATTTTTTAACCATGTATGACAATCTTTGGATTTTTATTCCTCAGGAGTTCCTATTGATAAAGTTGCACTTCTGAGTCAGGAAACACGAAACTATGTTGGAACAAAATTGCTTCAGCTGACCTTGAAGGAGCTTTTTGTTTTCCAATTCATGCAGGTAGGTGTGAATTAGTTTTATTTCCTTGCATATTTGTTTTTTGGAAGATTTACATGCATACTACTTAATTCTTATGTATTTACATTTCTGATGTCTAAACTTCAATTTTTACATATACACCACCTTATCCATGCATGAAAATGTGTTTCTCACTTTTTTTAAAGTTAACATGATGATATTTTTTGATGTGATATGAAAGATTTGGGTGGTACAACTGTACGAAGTAAGGTTTAGGTGTCCGATAAAGAGCAAGTATTCTAAATGAGAAGTTCGTGCCATATTTATTCTTTCTAGGATGAATTTCTTAAAGATTTACTTGTTATAGTTTTCATGAATTTCTTGAAGATTTTAAGAAATATCAATGCTCATATAAGCTATTAGTTTTTTGGAAAATTTACATGCATACCACTTAACTCCTATGTATTTACATATCTAACAACTAAACTTCAATTTTTGCACACACATGCATATATATATATTAAAAGATTGGCCAGAGGCTATTACGAACCTCCCGACTAACCTCATATGCCTAAGAATTCTATCCCGCATATAGGCGGGATCGAATCCGTGACCCCAGGGGTCTTACAAACTCTGCCAACCAAAGAGTAGTGGTAGTTGGCGGGCGCTCACACACACACACACACACACACACATATGCCATTTTAGATATGCGTGAAAAGGCGTATTTCACTTTTTTGAAATTAAAATAGTGATATGCTGGTGTGATATGAAATATGAGCGGTATAACTGTAAAAATTAAAGTCTAGGTGCTACATAAAGTGGAAGTCTTCTAAATGAGAACATTGTGCCATGTTTATTCTAACTATGATGAATTTGAGGAAGATTTACTTGTTTTAGCTGTGATGAATTTGCTGAAAATTTTTTAGAAGAATGAATGCTTATTTAAGCTATTAATGTTTTGGAATATTTACAAACATACCACTTAATTCTTATGTCTTTACACTTCTAGCACCTAAATTTCAATTTTGACATATATGCCACCTTACCTATGCATGAGTGCTGTTCACTTTTTAAAAGTTAAAAGTAGTAATATTTTTGTTGTGATATGAAAGATTTGGGTGTTATAAATATAAAAAATTAAAATTTAGGTGTTAGATATGTATATACATAGGAATTAGGTGGTATGTATGTAAATGCCCCTAATTTTTTTCTCTCTTGCCATTAAATTATGCTTTAATATTGGTGACAGACCGACCCAAATTGGAGCAACTTTCTTTTTGAGAGTGAGAAAAGAATGATCAATCTCATTGACTTCGGTGCAGCTCGTGAGTACTCACGCAGTTTTGTGGACGACTATCTTCGTATGGTAATTCATCTCATTCTTTTTCATTTTATTTTTAGGGAAATTTACATAGATACACACAATTCTTATGTATTTATATATCCAACTCCTAAAGTTAATATTTACACTTATACATCTTGCTGTCATAAACATATGATAAAAAGTTTTATTTTACTTAGAAAAGTACTCATGGTGGTATTTTTGATATGATCTCAAAGATTTGAGTAGCATACATGTAAATATGAATGTTTGTGTTAGATATGCAAATACATAAGAATTTTGTGGGATGTATCAATGTCCCTATTTATTCCTATTAACAGTAAGAATGCCATTTTCATATTACATTATTCCTATTACAACCACTGTGCCATAACAAATTAAGGAGTGCACTGCCACTCTCAGTCTCCACCAGACATTACTTGTATGGTTGAGCAATACCCACCTTGATCACTACCACATATTCGATAACCAACTCAATCACAACTGACCCTAAATACCAATGATACTGTACCGCCTACATATCAATATATGAAGTCTCTTTTTATTAATTACTTATCCCTTTTGTCTGTACTCTTCCTTTTGCATCACCTACATGGTATCAGAGCCCTTGCCCAATGACACATTCCTTTTCCCTCACCATGAGCATCTCCACTGCTTTCTCTGGTGAAAACATCACAAATTTGGCGAATTCCCTCCCAAATGACTATCCAATCACTGCTCAATTGAAGTTTCTGTTGGGCAACATTCAAAGCATCAACCAACCTGGAAGGCTCAGGTCACGAAGTTGTTCTGCACAAATGGGTGGGTATGATGGCTTCGTAGATGGATCATGTTCCTGTTTTGCATGACATTACAAATCTTACTGGAAACCCACTTCCCAATCTAGATTTCACTAAATGGATGCTGATAGATCAAAACCTCGCAGCTGCATTATACTCCATCTTTTCCCCGCCATTTCTCCTATACCTCCTGGCACTTCATACCTGCCATTATATTTGGACAACAGTGGAGTGCCGATTACAGCTCTTCAACAGATTCAAAATCATCCAACTGAAAAGTAATTGAAGTTTGAATGTTAAATATGTAAGCACATAAGAATTGGGTGGTATGTATGTAAATCTTTCTTAATATTAGTGATATTTTTGATGCGTTCATTAGAGATTTAGGTGCTATTTAGGTAAATATCAAAGTTTAAACACTAGAATTTTATGGTATGTATGCAAAATCACATAAAAGATTTTGTTATCTATGATAATAATTCTTACATTTTCAACATGGGAGTCTTTCTTTCCCTCAACATATCCCCTAAACATCCTTCCTTTGTGATGCAGGTGATGGCCTGCGCAAACGGTGACAGAGCTGCGGTGATTGAGATGTCGAGGAGGCTTGGATTTCTGACCGGCGAGGAATCGGAGGTGATGCTCGATACCCACGTCCAGGCTGGTCTCATCATCGGTCTGCCATTTGCGAAGCTCGGCGGCTATGATTTTGGTTTGACGAATGTGACTCAGAGTATCAGCAGTCTCGGTGCCACCATGTTGAAGCACAGGCTGACTCCACCACCTGAAGAAGCCTACAGCCTCCACAGAAAGCTCTCCGGTGCTTTCCTGGCTTGCATCAAACTTCGTGCTGTTGTTCCTTGCAGAGAGCTTCTGCTTGAAGTTTATCAGAACTATCAGTTTATTGATAACGGTCAAGCAGTTTTCTCCGCTTCTGCTGTTTCGTAGATATTCTGCAGAAGCACAGGTTTTTTTTTTTTTTTGAAAATTTACATATATACCATACAATTCTTATGCATTTAATATCTAACACCCAAAGTTTGATATTTTCCGAGCACATATTATGTCAGGACTCCGAACGTAGAGGTACGTTCGGATTCCAATAATCGATGTATTATAAGAATATCCTGCTGTGTTACAGGAATATTCCATCAGCTTTATTTGTAAAAAAGGAAGCGTTATTCGAGTATTATGTGATGTTATTCTATTACTTTGCAATGTTATTGAAATATTCACCCGCGTTATTTGATTTGGGGCTGTATTATTCGGCATATTCCTCATGTTATTTCAATTTTCATTATGTTATTGGAATAACACAACCCTAAATCAAGTAACGCAGGAGAATATTCCAATAATACTTCATTTTCCACAAATAACGCTATGGAATATTTCTATAACACTAATCCGAACGTAGCCCTGATATAATATTCTTTCATATTTTCACTTGCCGAGGTCATAAACCTATGCATCAAAAAGTTATATTTCACTTTTAAAAGATAGTAATAATGATATTTTTGAGGTGATGTTAGAGATTTGAATGTTATGCATGTAAATATGGAAATTTAGCTGTTAGATACATAAGAATTGTGGTATTTATGTCAATGGCCACTCTTTTTTTCAGAACCATCTGTTTATTGACATTGAGCTAGCAGTTTATTGTATGCAATTCTTTTACATTACAGATTTTATATATTTTTTCATGTTAACATTTGTATAAATTTGAAATATTATATTAGTAATAGTTTAGATTTCCATAATAGTGTGTTTTATTTTTGGGCATGTGCATACATAGCACTCAATAATATGGATTTACGTATCTTGCACCAAAACTTTCATATTTATACGTATAACACTCAATTCTTTCGTATCACATAAAAAATAGCACTAATTATCATTTTCACTCTTCTTGCATAGATAAAGTGTTTTGTTTGTAAAAATGAAAGTTTAGGGGTGGGATTCGTAAATTCATGAGAATTGTGTTGGGTATATAAATTTTCTTTTTTTAGGCTTATTTATTTATTGAGTCACGATAAAAAAAATCATATGAAAATTATTAAAAAAAAAAAACATATTCTCATGTGTGTGTTTATGATTTTTTCTCATTAAGTAAATAAGTTTATGATTATTAATTGAACTGAGTTAATTATGGAGCAGTTCCTGACTTATTACTAAATAAGAACACTTATTACTAAATTAGAATAATATTTATTATAATTGCCTTCGGTTAAGGGTTTGTTTGGGGCAGTTGCAGCTTATTGAATGATCTGTCGATAAGCTAGGTGTGGTTGTTATTATAAATTTTTATTTTTTTGAAAAAGCCAGACCGCTTCCGGAAAGTTGACACTGCATCTAGATAGGTGTGGTGTGAAAACATAGTTTTCTGGGTTTTGAAAACGCATAAGATGCCAAAATGTAGTTTACCCAAACAAACCAGATGCGTTTTCAAAACGCCACCGCACCAAATAAGTTGCCCCAAACGGACCCTAAAACTAGTATTCAATAGAAATATTCAGTAAAAAAAATGAATTTATTTTTTTTTATCTAAAATATTTTCTTTATATCTTATCATTTTGATTGGATTTTTTAGTCCATTAAAAGTTGATAAATTACATCAAAAAAATGTTTTTGAAAGCAAAATTTCAATGTCAATCCAAACCTTTTTGACTCACTACGGTGACAATATTTATTTTAAAAATCCAGATGATCATAGAAAAAAAAAATAGTTCTATAAAAGTTCATGGTGCTTCAGCTTAGTTTTTTTTTAAAAAATTTTATTTGGGAGCATTTACATAAATGCCACTCAATTCCTATGTATTTACATATGCAACACATTATTTTCTTTCTATTTATATCATAAAAAATTTCATGTTACATAAAAAAAATATCACTAGCTTAACATTAAAGAATAAAATAAATCTTTTTATGCAGAGGTAAGGTGGGCATGTGAGAAGTTCTTCACAGCGATCCCATTGAAGAAGGATTTCAGAATGAAAGTTTGGAACAGGCAACCGTAGAAGGGAATATGAAGCAAATAACTGTTTCCCATTTTCATTCTATATATATTATAGAGACTATTCAAGATAAGAGTAAAGGTAATATATAAGTGAGACATGTCATTTAGAGAGGTGGAGAATCATGAGAGGACAGGATGTGGAGCAGGTGATCCGATCCTGCAGTCAGAAATTTGTTATGGTAGGCATGGAGAAGTATCCGTGTAGCAGTAATATGCAGAATAGGACTGTCACTTCCCCTCAAACTTGCAATCGGATGGGCTGATTGTGAATTTTCTTCTAAGCGAGTTGAATTGAGTGGAGCTGTGACTTTTGGTTAAAATATCGGCTATCTGAATGTGGAAGAAATATTACATCAGTACTACGCACGTAAAAATAACGTGCGTAGCCAATCAAAACACGCCACGATATCTCGCACGGTAGAGCAAAAAAAACGGCGCAGTAACACGGGGAATATTCTCTCCTGTGTTATTCATGTGTTATTGCGCGTTATTCATGTGTTATTGCGTGTTATTCATGTGTTATTGATGTGTTATTGCGTTATTATAACACCAAGAATATTTTCAGGATACAATAACACATGAATAACACACAATAACACTTGAATAACACGGGAAATATTCCCGACAGAGAAAAAAACGGCGCAGTAACGCGGGGGAATATTCTCTCCCGTGTTATTCTTGTGTTATTGTGTGTTATT